CAGGAAGGCCTGGCGCAGCAGCCCCGCGCCCTCGCCCAGCGCGCAGCCCAGCCCGCCCGGCGGCGGCGGCGGCGGCTGCGGCGGCGGCTGCAGGTAGGTGGGCACCGGCAGCGCGCCCGGCGTGCGCGGCGGCCAGAACATGCAGAAGGGCGGGTAGAAAGCGGCGTCCTTCCTGCCGGGCCAGAAGAGCCCCGAGAGCCCCGCGCCGCCGCCRCCGCCGCCCTTGTGCGCGGCGCCCAGCGTCTCGCCGCCCTCCTCCTTCTTGTGGCAGAGGCCGAAGGCGGCGGCGGGGAAGCCGTAGGGGTGCGGGAAGAGGCCCCCGCAGGCCGGGAATTTCTGCAGCACGCCGCCGAAGGAGCCCTTGCTGGGCACCGGGATCACCGGGTAGCTCCGCGGGCTCTTGGCGCCGTGGTGCGGCGCCCCCGACGCCGCCGCCACGGCCTCCTGCAGCTCCTCGTCCTCCTCGAAGCGCGGCCGCTTCTGCTGCAGCTCCGGCGGCGCGGCGAGCAGGTGCGGGCTCAGCAGCCCGCCGCCCACCACGGCCGCCGCCGCCGCCGCCTTCACGGCGCCCAGCGGGTGACACGACGGCGCGGCCGCGGCGGCGGCGGGCGGCGGCGGCAGGGCGCGCTTGCGGCTGCCGCCGTTGAACATGGCCTTGACGTCCTCCCAGGCGAAGACCAGCTCGTCCTGGGGGCTCTTGTCGGTGAGCTTGAGGTGGCGGCGCCACGAGTTGAAGTTGGCGGCGTCGGGCTGCGTGTACTTGGCGTCGGGCGTGCGGTGCGAGTGGAAGATGAACTTGTTGGGCGAGAAGTACATGCTGCAGTAGCTGCACTTGATGCACTTGGCGCGCGAGCTGTTGTAGCGCGCSGGGATGAAGCTGCCSCGSSAGCCCCASGCGCACTCGTGCRMCACGTCGAAGGCGAAGTTSTCGGGCAGCTTGGGCGGCYKGTKCTCGCCCAGGAAGGACTTGCAGAGGCGCTCGGCCTCGCGCTTGGTGATCATGCCGCAGCGGCGGGACGAGATGGGCATGGCCCCGGCCCGCCGCAGGATCTCCAGCTGCACCGGCGTGCACTGCACGCACGTGATGCCCAGAGCCACCCGACGGTTGTGGATCTCGTTGTAGCTGAAGTTCTTGAGGAGTGTGTTGGAGATCTGCGCCAGGCAGAGCCGCTCCTGCCCGTCGATGACCAGCGAAACGATGGGGATGCCGTAGAGGATCACCTGGCCCACCTGGTTGGGCTTCATGGCGGCGTGGCCGGCCCGCGCCTGGCTCATGGGCTCCGGCGGGAAGGCGCCCGACGGCGACGGCAGCAGGATGTCCGTGGGGGCGGGCAGCGGGCTCGTCGCCATCGCCTCAGCGCCGGGGGGGCTCCGCTGCGGACGGAGGGCACAGAGAGAGAGAGGCGCCGTCAGACACCGCCCGGGAGACGCGGCGCCGTCGGGGAAGGGGCGAGGTTCAAGAGGGAAGCGGGATCCTCAAGGCGGCCCCCGCCTCAGCCACGCGCGGACACCCCGACGTTATCTAGGCCCGGAAACCCTCCCTGCGTCCTCCACATCTCGGCTCCGGTGATTACGGCAAATGTCCAAATTCCTCCCCCCTAAAAAAAAAAAAAAAAAAATCGGGGCGCCCCGAGTACATCCAGTGCTGATGGCCAGTCCCGAAACCGGCATCGCTCCCTTCCCCGGGGGAAACCGGCCCAAACGAAGCCGCGGGGCGCCGCGCAAAGCCCGGCCCCGTCGGGGGGGTGAGAAGCGCGGCGCCCCCCGCGCTCCTCGTCCGCGGGGCTGCCCGGCTGCAAAACGCGTTCGGACGGGGAAGGGAATGGGGGAGACGAACCTTTAGGGCCCCGACGAGGGCCGTTTCCCTGCGCGCAGCGCCGCTCACCTGCGCGGCTCGCGGGCCGCTCCGGCATCGCCCCCAGCGCAGCGCGGAGCGTCCGCGCGGCTCTGGGCGCGGGGCGGCCGCGCCCCCCCCACCCGCGTGGGCGCAGTGACGTCAGCGCCTCCCCGCCCCGCGTGGGGAAGGCGGGCGGTGGGGGGGTCAGACCACGCCGTCGAGTCCCCCCCTTTTCCCCTCGGTCAGTGCCGGTTTGGGGGGGGGGAGGATTAATCCACCTCGGTCCGTGCCGGCCTCGTCAACGATTTATCCAGAGGGAAAAGTGCTGGGAGCTGCCGGGATGCGGAATTCCTCCGCGAAACGCATTAAATCAGATCCCTTCCTCCCCTCTCTCCCTCTCTCTTTTTTTTTTTTTTTTTTTTTTTTTTTTTCTTTCCTCATTTATTCCCATCCAAGTGTCCGAGCGCGGTCGCTCCCAAGAAACTCAGAATATTCAACTCGCGCATCGGAGCCGCGTCCTTTCGGAAATCTTGTTATTTTTTATAGGAGTTGCTGCAAATTCCAGGCGCTGGGAAGGGGGAAGGAAATACCAAACACCGGGATGCAAAGAGGTAGCGAGTGYCCCGTTGCGCTTCCCCGCACAGCAAAACCCGAACGGCTCCCGTCGGACCGCGCTCCAGAGCACCGGGACTCTCGCTTATCCGCCCCTAGCATTAACGCGACCCAAATACATATATATATATACATTTATATGATGTATATTTTGTTATTGGACTATTCCACGACGTAGCAAAAGTGCAAATAGCGCRCGTTTCCAGCGCAGCTGCTGCGCTTGCTTCCCCCTTCCTTCTTTTTTCCTTCTTTTCTCCCCAAATAGGCAAATAYTGTGCAGCAAAAATGTGTATGTCTCAACATCTCCCCAAAAATCAGAAATAAGTGCAATAACTCAGGGARAAAAAAAAAGCAGTTCTCTAGTGCTCGCTGCTGCACCGCGTGTGCTGCAGACCAAGGGTTTAGCCCCTTTTTTCGGGGTCTCGTCAGCCCCTTCYTTCCCTACGCCGTCCCCGGCCGTTCTGGTTGAGGACGCGGTGCGGGGGGGAYCCAGCTGCCCGGCCTCGAGCAACGTCTGCAGAGCGAGGGCGTAAAAAACGGACCTCAAACCCCAAATTCCCAAGGACCAGATGAAAAAAAAATGTATATTGCCTAATACATTTTTTTCCCCTCCCTCCCGCAGATGATGCACACGAGCAGTGTCAAACCTCCCTTCGGGGAGTGTCTAATCTCCCTTTGGAGAGATTAAACGTGGGGTTCCCTGCGAGTTTTTTTTTTGTTGTTGTTGTTTTGGTTTTGTTTTTTGGCAAGGTGTCGCGGATCCGGGTGAAACTCCGCACCCACCTTTCCCAGCGCCATCCCCCACAAAGATGATTTTTTTTTCTTAAAATATAATCTCTTTCCACTCTTTCCCGCGGCTCTCTTGGGTCCTGGCTAACTTTGGGGGAAAAACCATCACCCCCTCCTTAGGCACTCCATTATTTCTCGTTAAAACCCGCTTCCCCCCCGTGCAGCGACCGCCGCCCGGAGCCCCCGAGCGCGCCGCTGTGGCCGCTACCAGCCCCGCACGGGTGACACTTTAATCACTTTAATCGATGTTTCCTGGCCGGGCTGACAGGAATTTTTACACTYCGAAAGTCTCCTCCTCTGGCTAATTGATTAAATTGCTTTATTGCCCGCTCGGTCACCGGGCGGCTTTTTGTTTGTTTGTTTTTGTTTTGCTTAGATTCTTCCTCCTCTGCCCATTCCCAAGCGTGGGGATCCTGGACTGGAGAAGAGAGGGGAAAGCGGCTCAGCCCGCCTAGTCGCAAGCGGCGGCAGGGTTTATTTTTGGCAAAATCCAGGAGCGACATCGCGCAAACGGGGAGAGGGAAAGAAGAAAAAAAGAAGAAGAAAAGAAAAAAAACACCACGGGCTCGATCCGAGGGCAGGCGTTAGGCAGCGTCTACTGTTTATTTTGCGTTGGGAAAAAAAGAGAAAGGAAAGGAAAGGAAAGGAAAGGAAAGGAAAGGAAAGGAAAGGAAAGGAAAGGAAAGGAAAGGAAAGGAAAGGAAAGGAAAGGAAAGGAAAAAGGAAAGGTTCTTGTAAACTGATAGGTGCTAATGGCCTCCCTAAATCGTCATGTTTGAGGGGTCCCCTCAACTTTCTCTGCTTAGAGGACTTGAGG